CACACACACACACACACACACACACACACACACACACACACACACACACACACACACACACACACACAGAATAGGATGTTGGGATGTGCAGCTGGTGATGGCAACCATTGCCGTCCGTCCGTCGCCCCGCGTGTGGGCGATCACGAACCTCCAATCCGAAGTACCGGTCGCCGGCGAACCGACACGTCCCTCATAGGCCCCCCCCCAAAAAAAAATAGTCCAGGCCTTGCACAATGCCACCAGCCACAGGGACCCCGGCCTAACGTGTGTCCGTTCATCGGACCATACCGGAGGCCGACAACGCCACAAGTGAAAACGTTCCGAATCCAAACCAAAAAAGAAAAAAAAAAACGCTTGGCAAATTCGGCGTGGAATGTAAGGGCTGGACCCCACAGGCTCGCGGCATCCTTGCGCCTGGAAAGCATCCGCCAGCACAAATCGTAGCTGTCGGGAATGGGCAAGAGAAATGGGACTCCACTGCCATAGCAGATTTAGGCACGTCCGCGGGTTTAGGTTACCAGATCAGGAAGACTTGCTCTTTCGGGCAAGTGTGCCTCCTCTTTTTCAGCACACCGTCCAATCCCTGTGCCTCCTTTCCGCACGGGATGGCTGAATCAAGAGAGTAGCCTCCGGGCTACCATGTTGTTTTGGCACAATATTTCGGAAAATGGAGTGCCACGGAGGAATTTCCCATCATGACCCTATGTGAAAACGTCCGCCCAAAGTTTTCCTGGCCGCTCCCTGCGGCCTGTGGGGTCTGAAAAAAAACCTATGCGCCAATCCATACGCTTTTCCGCACGCCTGTGGGGTCCAGACCTAATTCAGGGTAGGCAAAAACAGGCTCGGAGGTATTAGCCTTTCTTCGAAAAATAGAAAAAGAGGGCCGGTTTGCCCTATGTGCGTCCTTGGGACGTTTTGAAATGGATCTGATCGTAAGCGATGTTTCATTCATCCTGACATGCGAGACGAAAATGCACGAGTCCAACCGGGACGGTACTGTGCGGCACCGCGTTTTACGTGTGTCTGACCGAATACGATCTGGTTCCGCTTCGGCAAAGGCTCGGGGTCGCGTAAGGTATAAACCAGCCGGCCGGTGTCCAGAAAAAATGCGCTGAGGGCCCGTGGGCGGCGACGGTGGACTGCGTAGTAGATCCAATACCACTTCCTTGGCGACGTCCGCTCGTAGGTCTCGGGCTCGAACCTGACGGGGGCATGTTGTAACCTACGGTTTATCATACACTACACGAGAGTATGTCAGGTGTGTGTGTCTAGAACCACACGAATGGTACCGCGTCGCTCTGCGTGTCGACAGCGAGGGATTTGTTGGTGCGAAATCTTTGCGAAGAAGCCACAGGGATGTGATCCCCCTGTCGATTGCATAGCGGCAGTCGGAACAGCGTGCTGTGGTCTTCCTCGCAGGCGAAGTAGGCGCCTGCTGGTGTCGGGAGCATTCGCGGATTTGGCCGCGTCATTAATTGCCGTCTGTCGAGCACATGTGGGGGGTCCGAGGTGGGGAGTTGGCGGTGGCAGTGCGCAACTCTCCTCGGCTGAGGGTGGACCGAGGCGCTGGTGCTGGCGACGATAGGCAATTACAAGTAGGGGCCGCAGGTAAAGCGCGCGCTAACCGGAAGGCGCGAAAGGAAAACAGAGGTGGGAGGGGAGTGGGGTGACGTGTGGGAAGGCGTGGGAAGAGGCTACAACATCAGACGAACGGCAGGGAAGAGTGCATGGAATTCCGACGGCTCGGCAGTGGGCTGCGAGACACAGGGAAGTTCTAGTGAGGGGGAGAAATTTGAGTGCTCAGCGCGCTGCTGTTGGCTTGGTGATGGAGTGATGTGATGTGCTAAAGAACGTGCCGCCTGGTGGAGCATTTACAGTTACAGCGGAGCAGCTCGCCGTGGCACGAACGGCGGCGGAGGAGGACGGATGGACGTGACGAATCACGGCTGAGGAGGGGAGAAGCGAGCGCGACGCTTGACTGACATGTGCTGGGGGGATCTGTGGTGTTCACAAGCCCATTACCCGCGGTAAAGTGGGGCTAGCGTGTGGGTCAGTGAAAAGCTTGATCAGGGTGGATTTCAGCAGCAGCAGAAGCGGCAGGAGAGTCGCTCGCTCCTGGAGCGAGTCAAGCTGTCAGCTATGGCGGTGAGCAAGGGGAGGACGGCGTCGTCATTGTGTCGACGGTTTGGCTGAAAATGAATTGGCACTTGCTTGTGAGATGCAAAGTTCTTGGTTGCTGAGTCGTTCACGGGATCGATTCGTCGCGATTGATGCAGAGTTTTGGTGTGTGCGAGTGCGTGTCTGGGAGAGAGAGAGAGAGAAAGAGAGAGAGGAAGAAAGAGAGAGAGAGAGAGAGAGAGAGAGAGAGAGAGAGAGAGAGGTGAGAGCCGAGGAGGAAAGGGGGGTGTAAAAAAAAGGGCCGAAAGCGGACGACAAACGGAAGAGGGGGGGGCGGCGGAGGCGGGAAGACGGGGGACATCGAGGACGAAATAGGAAACAGTTTGCTTAGGTGCCACTTCCCTCTCTGGGAGGAAAGTAGTCCGTGGTCTTGTGACAGTATTTCAACGCGTGGGTGGGGGTCGGAAGTCGGTTGTTTAATCGCCTCGACTTGAGCGATGGAGGGAAGAGGCGGAATGACTGGGAGGAGGGCAGCTCTTATTCTGGTGACGGTCGCCATCGCAGCCTGTTGCATGTTTCAGAACCAGTCAGCTCTGGCGGCCGACCTTATTCCTACCGGTAGTTCAACCAGTTCCTCCAACTCACCCCCATCGCAGCCAGCTGCCGTTCTCGGAGGGTCGTCACTTGTCAACGAGACCACTTCTGAGCCTTCAACGCCCGTTCTTTCGCCGATGGCTAGCACCGCGGCGCCAAGTACTCCATCACCTACTCTTGTGCCAGGTGGTAGCACGCCTCCTTCTCTTCCGCCTGTCCTGGTTCCTCCTCCGGTGTCGGCGACCAATCCGGTTGGTAGGGTAACACCGTCCAGCCCAAGTCTTATTCCTCCGAGCAGTCCGTCGCTCATCCCTGGCCCCGGGGTCAGCACGGCGCCGATGTCTGGCCCGAGTACGGTAACCCCGAGCATCGCTGCGCCCGTCAACCCTGTCCCCAGCATCCCCAGCCCCCCCAGCTCCCCCAGCACTTTGCCTCAGCTCGTTCCCCCCCCTTCCACCACGGCGCCGATTAGCGGAGTTTCGCCTGTCCCAACGATATCCTTACCACCCCCGGTATCGAACCCGACGATCGCCCTACCTGCCCTGGTGTCCGCCTCCTCTCCATCCATCAATGGAACCCCCATTTCCCAGGCGCTGCCGTCGGTCGCGTTTCCACAATCCGTCTGCGGAATAGAGATTATTTACACCGCTTTGACACTCAACTCCTCTGTCAATCCCGATAAAGACTTCACCGCTCAACTGACCGTCATCAACAAGGGGATAAATCCTGCACGGAACTGGTCCGTGACTCTCCAGTTCGAGTTTGATGTCCAGATTAGAGCCGTCTTACCGCCGTTGACGCTTGTGGGAGGCGCCCCCCCGCTGAAGATCGCGATAGGGGTGCCGATAACGCTCAGTGCGTTGGATACCTATAAGGTTCTGGATGGCGCGGCCTTGAACAACACTGCCTTGCCGACCAACGTCACCGGCCTGATCTCGGGATCGATTGTGGGAGTGACTATGAAGCAGTTCGCTTTGCCGAAAGCGGTCAACTTCACCGCCACGAAAATCTTCGAATGTCAGGCTCCCAGTAAGTTGGAGGGGTCGCTGGCGGTTTGCTGCAACCAGTCGTTGTCGCAGACACCTGTGCTGATCCAGGAGCCGGGGAACACGACCGAGTTCACGGGTGTCGACATCCTGTGGGACGTCATTCAGCCCAACGCGTACACGTACTACACGGTGCAGCTGAGGATAAGGAATATGGATCCTTACAAGAACATTTTACCGGAGGACTACAGCTGCCCGTATGACGAAGAGAAGCCGAATAGCGGCTGGTGTTTGAAGTGGGACTGGAAGCACAACGAGTACATCTCGTCGGTCGAAGGTTGCACGACGACGTATAAGGGAGACTGCCAGTCGATGATCAACGTCACAGCAATGGAGAACGTGACGCAGGCGCATTCGTGCGACCGGTCGCCGACTCTGATGGACTTGGAGCCGAGGTTCGGTGCCTTGGCGCCGCAGTTCCTCGATCCGGGAGCGGCGGTTGCCAAGGCGACGCTTGTGATTGGTAAGCAGGAGTCGGACTGGAATGACACTGCTGGCTTCTACTTTCCGACGAACTTTTCCATTGGCTTGCCGAATTACAAGTGCAGCACGCCGTTAATGCTCGGGGAGCCGAGCAAGTTGCCGACTTCGGAGGGAAGCAGGCAGATGATGTCCGCGTTGAAGTCTTGGTCCGTCTCTTGCGGGCCTGTTTCTGACGTCGTTGAGCCGAAGACATGCTGCGTGTCACTCTCAGGCGTTTACAACCACACTTTGGCGCCCTGCATGGCCTGTGCCTGTAACCAGCTTTCGCCGTGTAACAGCGCCAACCCGCCTTGCGAGATCACCCTGCCCGCGACTCCGCAGCCGGCGTTGGACGCTGTTCTGACCTCGAGCAAGACCGATTACACACTCCCCGAAGTGCCAAAGAAACTCCTGCAACGGCAGTGCAAGTCCGGGTGCGGGCAGCAGGTACACTTCCATTTGAGCAAGATCGAGGGTGGCACGTGGACGATAGATGCGCGCGTGGACAACGTGCTGCCGAAGGACTTGGTCAATTGGATGGTGGCGGCGCAGTTTTATCCGAACGTGTCGAAAGCGCTGATGACAGTGCACTCTGTCAATAGCACGACGCCGGATGAGAACGGCATGATCGTGTTCTTTGGGTTCAAGGACTACAACGAGTTGCTCAAGTCGGGAGGCGGAATGACCTGGCAAATGGTGTTCAACAGTTCGACTTTGCTGGCGGAGTATCGCCATGTTGAGACGGAGCTGCTCGATCCAACTCAGAAAATCACCGCCGAGGAGGAGCTCGCGACTCGTATAGATCAGAGGATGCTGCCGTTGAAGGTCATCTTTATGGGTAAGGAATGTGCTATGCCGGAGGCGCGGTATATCCCTTCGCTGCCGAGTTTCGCAACTCGCGGCGCTCGCATTCCCAATCTGTATGTGTCGTTGGTCCTAGCGATCGCCGTAACATCCCTATGTCATAGTCTTTTCTCATCATGAATGTGAGGAGAGCTCCCTTTCGATCTTCTTGCTTGCATTTCCTCCTTTCCTTGGTCACTGTCTAGGATTAGAGAGCTCCTTTTCGTTGATTTAATCCATTTCCGTTCGTCTTTCTCTCTTTCTCTCTTTCTCTTGTCGCCGCCGCCGTTGTGCTCCTTCGCCGCCGACGTTTTCTGTCGGTATCGGTGCTAGCGCGTGGCTGTATGGTTGGTGTGCCCTCTCTCAAGGTCTCTCCCCGGAGCACGTCTCTCGCTCGCTCGTTGACTGCGGACCGCGGGAAAGGCTTTCGATGGCGCTTCCAGCAGCAGCAGACATCACGCAGCTCGGCTTGGAGTGACGGTGATGACCCGGTCGGTCGTTTACGATGATGATAATTTTAGATGTTGTTGTCTCCCACGCTGCCGCTGTTCGTCGCGCAGTGACGGTGATGGCCCCATTTCGGCTATTTACGGTGATGATAATTTTTAGATATTGTTGTCCATTGGGTCACTGTGATTTAGCCTGATCATGGAGAGAGGACCGACGCTATCTCGAAGATTTCATGTGAGCTTCATCGGTCCCTCTTTGTGCCACATCGTCCGGTTGTATTTTTCTCATTCTCCTGCTCGCTGTCGCGTCCCTTCTTCCCAGGGTTCTTCGGGGCGGCTCCTTGATGAGGAGTGGCGGAAATCTGTGTGTTGAGTGACAGTGAGATGCCCTTCGCGTGCGTACACGTGTCTCCTCTGTGTGCGCACACGTCGCTGTGTGCGCACACGTCGCTGTGTGCGCACACGTCGCTGTGTGCGTACATGTGTCTGCTGCGTGTGCTTACATGTGTCGTGACGTCGCCGGTCTACCGTGCTTCCTCGCGGGCGGATTTGTGAGTAGTTTGTGATCGTTCTCAGGGAAAGAAGTAAGACGTTGCCGCCTACACGCCCCAGGAAGTTGGAAATGTTGTTCTCGCCAAGACTGATTGGTTTGACTACTGCTGCTCCTGCGAATGCATCGAAGTGGCGAATCCGAATGAGCATTCCGGGAATTGGGGTGGGTGGACGTAAATAAGCTTTGCCTCGGTGGGATTATTTATGTAAATTTTCCCCTCCCAAACGTGTTGTTGTGGGTGGCGAGGTGTAATAAGAGTCTCTAGTTGTTGCCTTTCTCGAGCGCCGCGCTGTATCTTTCTTGTGTTGATGGGCGGGACGTCGACTCGAGGAGTATTTCGCGCGAAGTAATTGGACATTGGCGCACCACGTGTATGGACGTCTAAGCTTAGTGCACATGGCCCGCCGGATAATGTGTTTGTGTGTGTGTGACAGAGAGAGAAGAGAATGCTTTAAGTGGTGGGTATATCTTTTTTTTTTTTGGTTTTCGTGTCGGGCGGGCGGTGACGTTGATCGCCGAAGGGGGTAACGACGATGCTTCGGGATGATGTGGTACCCCTTTTCCTAGAGGCCTGGCGTCGGTTTGTCATTTGCCTGTGGTTGCAGTGGGTCCGGTGATTGTGGCGGACCTCCTCGTCCTCACCGTGGCTGTCCCGGTGATTGTGGCGGACCTCCTCGTCCTCACCGTGGCTGTCACAATGCCCAAAGGGTTAAGCTTCGGTTGTCTCCAGGTGAAGGTCGCGTACGTATGCACGTCGTTTCGCTGCTGGGTCGATGGGATGCATGTGGATATGCAGCCAGCTCCTCCGTGTCGTTTCGCTGCTGGGTTTAAGCCGACGTTTTGCTGCAGGCGTCTGTAGCCGGGATGTGAATGTCTTCTGTCGCAACGAGATGTTAAACTTGTTGGACAAGCTTCTGATGTTGTGAAACTCTGGAACCGATGTAATTTCGTTTTTGGTCGAATATGATGAGAGCTGTTTTTTTCTTGCGTTGGTAGGGAGGTCTATGGGTAGTCGCGACGGAAGCAAGCAAGAGAAAAGCAGCGAGCAGAGGAGAGAGACACCAGACACACACACAGAGAGAGAGAGAGAGAGAGAGAGAGAGAGAGAGAGAGAGAGAGAGAGAGAGAGAGAGAGAGAGAGAGATTGTAGGCGGACGAAGCGGCAGAAATGGCAGACGATTTTGAAGAGTTGGTCATATCGAGAAGAGGGAAAGTCGAGGGGGGGGAGAGAGAGGGAGGGGGCGTGGTCGGAAGGCGACAGAGGCGGCGATTAGTTGTGCTACGGCGGAGGAATTCTATTTATCTGGTTGATGTCGAACGAGCAAGACGGTGACATTATGCTGCGAGCTTCTGTTGCGAGAGAAGGGTTGGGCTGTCGCGGGTTGTGAGGTGTTTGAGGAATGTTCTTGCGCACTGTAGTTTTCGAAGTACTCATGCTTTTTATATATTGCGGTGGCATTATGCTGCGAGGTGCTGTTGCGAGAGAAGGATTGGGCTGTGGCGGGTTGTGAGGTGTTTGAGGAACGTTCTTGCGCACTGTAGTTTTCGAAGTACTCATGCTTTTTATATATTATACATATTAGTACGGAGGAGCCGTCTGAGGTGGAAGTCATTGCCCCTCTAATTTATCTCTGTTGCACTCCGTTGCTGTTTGTTGATAATTATCGAGACTTGAATGCTGTGTTTTTTCTTAAAGCTGGTTTACTTTCATCGTCCTTTTTTAATCTACTTCTCTATGATGCCGCCTCCTTGCCATCCCGCGTTTTTTTCTACTTTGAGCTATTATATGTTTTACCACTCTGGGTTTTCATCGCTTTAAATCAGGTTTTCAAGGTCGGACTGTATTCTTTTCGTGTGCGTGTAGAGTGCATTGTTAGCTATGCTCGCGTGAGCTTGTTTTCTGTCTCTCTCTACCTCTCTGCCTCTCGCTCTTTCTCGCTGTCTCTTGCTCCTTTCTCTGACTGATTTAACGTAGTATCAATTTGTGGATTTCGTTCGCGTTTAGAAATGACAGAATTCTTAGAAATGAAGATTGTATTGTTAGGGTACGTCGTATTTCCGTATTACTTGAGATGCAGTGCTGCGTCTGCCCTTGGTGTTTCACAGCTCGCTGTTCGCCCGCCCTTCATGCGCTGCCAATGTTCACGGTCCGTCATTCAGACGTGTCTTCGAGGATTTTTTTCGTTTTGGGTGTTGTTCTCCGCGCCACATATCTTCTCTTCGGCAACATTTTTTTTTCGGTCTGTTTCTCTAATCCTGTGCCGGTTTTTACTTCTCTTGGAGTAATGATGACCAGTGCAATCCTTGTTGTGTTCTCTCTCTGGCTCTCTTCTTCGCTGTACTGTCTCGGCATCTGCGCTTCCGTTGGCGATCCTCCATCTCCGCGGTTCCCGTACCACGTGCTCTCGTGGCAGTCTGTGGTGTACGCCATAACTTCCATCGTGTGTAGGCCTAATGATAATCGCCGCAGTATCTGGTCGATCTGCTCTCTCCTTGTCATCGGAGGACCACTTGGTGTGTGTTCAAACACACCCGTTGGTGCGGACTAGAACACCTATTTGCTGTCTACTCTGGAGTAGTGTGTGTGGGTCGTCGTCGCATCTAAAGATTCCGTCTCGGGAATGCTTGTGTGAGTATCATGCCCCGACCCTAGCACAACTGTGAGCGGGTATAGGTCGTTGTCTACTGTCCGAGGCAATTCGTTTGCGCGGCGATGGTACCGTTTGTCTCGTTTCCTTTCTTCCGATCAAGAGAAAAGAAGTCTGGAGGTACTCTGGAAGAGTGTGTGTGGGTGGTCGTCGCATCTAAGTATTCCGTCTCGGGAATGCGTGTGTGAGTATCATGCCCCGACCCTAGCACAACTGTCAGCGGATATAGGTCGTTGTCTACTGTCCGAGGCAGTTCGCTTTCGCGGCGATGCTACCGTTTGTCTCGTTTTCTTTCTTCCGATCAAGAGAAAGAAGTCTGGAGGAATGCGGGGAGGAGCGATTTCGCGCACGGAAAGGTGGACACAGCGATGGCGAGGCGATATCTGATAAACGAGGATGAGGAACATCTCCTCGTTGCTGTGGCTTGGCGGTAATGTGACGAGGAGCGATTTCGAGCACGGAAAGGTGAGCACAACGATGTCGAGGCGACGTCTGATCGTACATCGCTCCTCGAGCTGTCGTCATACATCAACAAGGATGATGGACATCTCCTCGTCGCTGTGGCTTTCCCTAACGTCGATGACCTGGGCTCTCGCTGTTTTGGCTATTCGAGTGCCGGTGTCTCAGCGGTAATGCACTTTGTCTAGCCGGTGAGAGGAGGGGAGAAGGAAGGTGGTGGGAAGTCGTCGCGAGTCTGCACAGCCTCTTCGACATTCGGTCCTGAGAACTGGTTCCATTGCGCCAACTTTGTGTATGGTCATTGAGGAGATTATATCCTATTCGTCCCCAGGCCAACTCGCTGGCGAATGGAGAGAACGGAGGAAGGGGTAGACGAAGGGAGAGGAATGAGAAGACAGGGAGGAGAAGGTAGAAAAGAGAAGGGGTTCGACGGAGCAGGGGAAGGTGGTAAGGTGAGGTCGTTGGGTGATAGCTTGCTTGTGCTGCTGGGAGCTATAAAAAGGGGGGGGCAGAGGGGCAGGTATATGGTTCCCCTTTTGACGACGACGACGATGGAGGGTATGGATCACTCAATCTCTTGGTTTCGTCCGTTACGACATGCAGTTGATCTTGGTGATTACATTCTATGTCCTTTGGCCCTAATCAAATTAATAAGAGGTTTGTTAAGTTGAGCTGTTGCCGCGTGATGAGAAACTTTCGATCCGCTCCTTGGTTGGTTCGCCGCCGCTGTCTAATCCCCTTATCTGACAAAATTGCTGCCGTGTCCGTTGTGACACGAATACGCTGGACTGTACTCTTCTCCCTGCCCCACCTCTCCATCCTCTTCTCTCCCAGTGTGACGTTGCCTGATGTCCATTCCTGTCCAACCTTTTTCCCCTTCTCTGTTTGGTACGCTGTCCATTGCTCTTCTTGGGTCTGCTCTTGTTTGAGAAGCTGGGAACGTCCCCATTGGTGACATCGAGTGTGTGATAGCATCGCACCACTCCCAAGGTACTGTTACAGTAACTCTTCTCAGCCTGGGGCTCCTGAAAATTAACGACACAGCTAATCTGTCAAGGACAGGGAGTTTGTGAACTAGAGCGGTGAACTCTTGAAGTTCTGTAAACCACTTTGCCTCGTCTTGTCTAGCGAAGCTTATGCCTTTGTGGGTGGGAATGAATGCTCATCGTGAAGCGCATCGACTGGAGAGAGAGGAAAGTGTGCTGTTCACGAACCTGTCAAGGACAAACAAGGGGATAAGTGTGAACTGAAGTTATGAACCTGTCAAGGACAAACAAGGGGATAAGTGTGAACTGAAGTTATGAACCTTCGAGTTGTTTTGAATAAAATGTGCGCTCGATTCATGATTCTCTGTCCTTGTTTCTTCCCCAAAGGGAATTGGCCCCCCAACATTCTAGTATCCTTGAGGATTCGAACTGACGACCGTCTAGGATTTGAACAGACGATCTGTCTAGTTATCAAAAAACATGAGTTTCATTAGAATCTGATGTGGTTGTGTGGGAGTAGCGAGGACTCGGAACGAGTGAGCCAAAGCAACGAGAAATGAGAAAAGTCAATCGAGGAATACGTTAACATCACCACATTGCTCGATGGAGTTGTCCTCAATTGCGCAAGCACAAGAAAACATCTAATGTGTTTGCGTGTTCTGCGCAATTGTAGCATATCTAGTGAGTAAGGGGATCTGTTGATGACAACATGGTTTTCCATTCTCTCTCTCTCTCTCTGTGTGTTCAGCGCTGCTGCGCTTGTTGTGTGTTTGGCGAACCCGGTTTCCTTGCCGAGGGTACGAGTGTGAGGAAACTGGAAGATGGTGGGAGATGTTTGGGAGGAGCTATTGTGTGCTGGGAGCAAGCTTTTTTGCTTTGGTGGTGGCTGCACGCTGCACGTGGGGAGGCTTTGTTTGGAAGAGCACTGTGTTTTCTGGCAGCAATAGCTTTTGTGGTGGCTGTGCGTTCCAGGTGCTTGATAGATTTCTCAGAACCGTCTGTCACTTGTCTGATCAGAAAGTACGGTCGTCATCTTTACACCTAGACCGAAATCCACCACAGATACAGCTAGAAAATGGTCGCGTATGTAGAAACGTGGCAGTGGAAAGGGAAGTCTGCTTCGTATCCTAGATGGTGTGCCCCTCCTCTTCCCTTGGACACAAAGCACCTGGAGATGACGACTGTATGCACGGGGGAGGCCTGTGGCCAGATCGGGTCAGAATACTTGGGGGTATTTATGCAATTTACCTAAGGGGCAGTGATAACATGGTGTGTCTACCGCTTTTCTTCTTGCTGGTGCAGTCGGTGTCTGCTCTCTACCGAAACTGATGATGGACAATTTGCCCCGCAGAACCTGCCCAGGGTCTTATCTGGGGTCGTGAAGACGATCATGTCATCAAATCCTATGCAACCCAAACACTGACTGGCCTTGCATGACACTCGTAGGGTAGTCTGCTCCAGCCGTGACTTCTTAGAACCCTGTCAGAATTCCACCTCCCATTTCCTTCCTCCCTCTTCCTTTGTACTAGTTAATTTCATTTACAATTTCATACGAATGAGCATCATTAAGAGAACAGACAAAATCTAGGCTGAAGATCTGAGGAAATCTGAGGAAAAACGAACAGGAATATACCTCCGCCTTTACTCTGCCTCCTTTCATAGTGTGCAATGTGGGCGGCTCGCGCTCAACCACAATCAACGTGGCTAGCCTTGTACATGAGGAGCACAGTAAAAAGGGAGCGGCAAGAACAAATGACAGGGGTACCCCACAGAAGGCAAGAAGGCAAAAGTGAACACAATTAAGAAAGGGATTGTTGGATTGTCTCAACTCAAGGACCTTCGTCGTCTGCAATAGGATTAAAGCTGCTTTGATTTTTTATCAACTACTCATCTAGGTGGAATGGGGGCTGTTGTGGTGAAAATTCAAAACACACACGCACACACACACACACACACACACACACACACACACACACACACACACACACATGGATGTAGCGATCTGGTCATCTGGATCAATTAGTAGTGGTTGGGGTGACAGTAGAGTACAGCACACCTGAATATAGTGAACATGACTATCACACAGTGAAAGTCCGACCAAACAGTCTGGAACACTCGTGCTTTTTTATGGAGTTCTATAAATGAACATGACGATACAGGCGAGTCGGCGAAAGCTCTATGAAATAGTCTGTCACAAATGCCTTTTCTTTGTGGAGCTGTGTAGCGAATACGAAACACAAACACAGTCTGGCACAGTCATGTTTTTTTTTTTTTTTTTTTTTTTCATGGAGTTGTGTCTACCGAACATGACAAAACACCCTTCCTTATGTTTGCTATAGAAGACTCTTAAACTTACGCAGGTGGAAAAGGCGTTGTTATGTAGACAGTTTGCATGTTGAAGAAAATAAGGTCGAGCAGTTTGCTTCAAATTTGGATCTACTCGTCTGAGTGGAAAAGGGGTGGTTATGGTGATTGTTTACAGCACGGACACAGTGTGACATATAAACACACATGCACACCTGCACACACATGCATGCACACACACACACACACACACACAAACGGGAAAAAATTGTGCCACGTGGCAAAGCCATGTGGTGCCATTTCGCACCTTTAGCAAACCCCCCCTGCCCCCCGGACTTTCCCCCTAACTTTTCCTCTTCTTCCTCCTCTCCCTCCTCTATGCATTCCCCTCCTCTGCTCGTCCTTCCCCTCTCTCCCACTCCTCCCTCTCCTAACGAGAGAGAGAGAGAGAGAGAGAGAGAGAGAGAGAGAGAGAGAGAGAGAGAGAGAGAGAGAGAGAGAGAGAATCAAAACCGGCGGGAGGCAAAGTGTGAGGGAGGTACCACAGTCTTCCACAAGCCTACTTCCGCTGAACAGAATGCCTGGTTATTACGTTGGTACATGGCCCGAAAGGTGCACAAAATTCATTCAGTTCCAGCTTGAACCCAAGACCAGGCCGTACGGTAGTTCCAGGTCGAACCCAGAACCAGGCAGTATGCGGGGAAGGAGTGTTTTCTGTGCAGCGTAGAAAAGGTCGGAATGTTATAAGACGAGCCTTAGATAATGACGTATAATTAATCATAGAGGAGTTGCTCACAAATCCCTATAAACTTCCAATGGAGAAGAAGTGGAAAAAAAAAGTTAAAAAACTATGGACTTGGTGGAAAAGAATGCTTCTCCTGTTTTCCTGCAGCTCAGGGAGGGGGAGGTGTCCTGCATCTGTGTGGACGATACACCCCCGCACTGTAGTGCCTGATCTACACTGTACCATACGGATGGTATGTGGACCGGAAGGTACTATGTAGCGCCTGACCTACATCGTACAATCTGGCCCACATAGTAATGCAGCCAATAACAGTCTTTTTCTTTTTGTGACCGTCACGTCTGTGTGTGTCTGTGTTCCTTTTACATAGCAGATCGCTCTATTGGGCGAGGTTCTTTGTTTTTTGTTTTTTGAAGGTTGGGAGGGGTGTTGGGGACAGTGCATGCAGGGTGTGGATGTCCGGCTGGGGGCCGGCATGTGGGCAAAGTGGACCCACCCACAGATGGGGGACACTCGAGGGCGGGATGCTCAACCTTGACCACACACACACCAAGGCAGGTATCGAGCGAGACCGGTCCTCGATTGCCGGCAACTGGTTACCCTGATTCAGGTTCTGGACCTGCCCAAGGTGACCTGTTGGGAGGCAATCAAGCACCTGTCGTACGTCACTGAGGGGAATGCCGTTGGCTTGCTAGGGGAACAGCGATCCCTGGCCCCCCTGCCCTGCCCTTCCCAACTGAGTCCAACCCACCACGATCATGCACAACCCCAGACGAGGGGCAAGCGGGGCTCTCTAACAACACACACACAGCAATAGCATGCCCAGGGGGGCAGCCTCCGATGTGGCAGCCACAATGGCTGGATCCCACAGTTGGAGCTGTATCTTGAAACCCACAGCTGGGTTTCGTGGACCTCTCTTGCATTGCCCGGTGTACACACGCCTATGTCGGTTGATGGTGGGCAGAATGCACAGGGCGCGGGTCCAAAGAGAACCTGCGCGCTTATACCACGATGCGCATTCGACACTGGTAGGCTACCCAATGAGCTAAGGCTGTGTGTCAGGCATGGTTTTTGCTTTTAGGGGTTTCTTTTTTCATTTTGCCGGCCAGAACTCAGCGCCAATCGAACAACACCTGACCCGGATATGGCCACCGCATCCGGCCCTCGAAATGTCAGGCCTAGTGCACCTATTACTGAAACCACACCCCGCAAAGCACGGAAAAGTTTTCCTCAGTTTGTGTTTTTCTATTTTCCTTTTCTTTTCCCTCTTTGTCAATGTGTAGAGAGATGGATCTCCTTCCCCCCTCCTCCTGCCTTTCATCTGTGCCAGGGATGAAGCACTGGAGGGCAACTGCTTGTTGCGTTGGAGACTGAGGACAGCACAATTCTACCCGTTAGGTATCAGGTGTCATCATTAATGTGGCATGCACGCATCTCACATGGGCCTCCTCGGGAGCCCAACACACTAGGATAGGGTGTGCAGGTTCTGGAAAAGGGGTTGTTAGTTCCTTTGTGGAGGGCAGCTGCAATTTCTGATTCCACATGTTTCATCCTCAGGTTTTGTGTCTAGGCACAGGTTTTTTCGGTCTGGGTGCGCCCTTTCGATTCCTAGATCCGGACAGGTAGTACAGAGTACAGGAGTCAGTCCTGATTCAGGACCAGAGCCGATGTTTTGGACCAGGTGCATTTCCCTCCTAGCTGGACCGTGTTACGGTAGGTCCAGCACATGTTTCCATGACCAGGTTGCAGGCCCGCATCCTGGATCGTCGGTCAGTAATCTGATTGGACAATCCAGGACCAAGGCAGACATTGGAGCCAGATGGCCAAGTACTATAGACAGCCGGATCACGCTCATTCCTGTTATGCTGAGGTCGACGCTTGGCTACACAGCGCTACTTGAGGTAGAGGTGTAGAGTAGTGGTAGGAGGATGCGAGGGTGGAGGCCAGAGAGGTGGACTTACCTGCAGACTTACCGTGCACCATAGCTCCTCGTTGTCTTTGGGGTCATACACAGCTCCAAGGCGACACTTTTACGCTTCTCGCTACGAGGGTATATCAAGAGGTTCCTTCTTTGTCTTCTCTCCCTCTTCCTCTATCCCCCCCTCTTCTTCTTCCTCCCTCCGTACCTCCTCTTCTATGTGTGTGTGTGTGTGTGTGTGTGTGTGTGTGTGTGTGAGAGAGAGAGAGAGAGAGAGAGAGAGAGAGAGGCGATTGCTCGGACTTGGACATTGTATCTGGACACAGACATTGGGGTCATTTTTGGGAGATGGTGTTTCAGCGTCACTATTTGGTTGAAGACATCTCATCGCTTCCTCTCCCCTTCGTCTCTTGTCCCTCCTTGTCGTTGTATGATTTCGGCCACAGCGCTTCTCTTCTATGTATGCAGCACCGCTTCCCATCCCTGCATTGATGATGAGTGAGTTGCAGTCAGTCTGAGTCGAGTCGAGTCAGATCTGTGTATCAGTCAGTCTTCCACTGCATTGTATTTGCTCATTCTCCTGTGGTTGGTCCTTGGGTTCTGGGCCGTGCCCATCTGATTGTCTTCGGGCGTGCGACAATTACCCGCACCCTGACCATGCAATCCAAAAGCCTCGAGGACACCTGTGTTGCAATGCTGCATGTCCGACCACATAACGTAGTGGGTAAGGGTACACCTTTTTTTCTTCTTCTTTTTTTTTCATTTTTTGTTTTGGTAATGGTACAAGTTGAGTTTGCTCTTTCCTCACTTTTTCACGTACAAGTGAAACCAGAAGCATCCTTGCGCAGGGGCTATGCTAATCTTCTCTGTATCGTTCCAATTTTAACGGGCGTAGCTTAGTTGGTACACCCATGAACTGTTGAACAGACCCAAGTTTGAATCCAGATACAATCAGAGGACCAGAGTACAATCATTCTGAATAAAAAACCAGAAGCATAGAGCACTCCCACTGCTTCCAGGTGTGCCGTTGCTGGTAGCCTCATAGGCGTCATCTGGATCTACTCAGATCTGCCCCCCAATCTTAAACCACCTGTAACT